ATGCATTAATACAGAGTACCATCCAATGGCTGTTACTTGGTGAAACAACTTAAGAAAAATCAATTAACCTGAAAGAAAGCTGTAATGAGCCATATGTGTAACTTTATGGGGTTTTTTTTTTAATTTTAGATATAATTGACAATTTGGGAAATAATGCAATCTCTTCTGGGCTCTTCAAACAAGTAGCTTAAGTCTAGAGTAGGCATATACATAGCTGCCTACATGCAAACAACAGCTAGACAGGCCAGTTAACAAAGAAAATAAAATAAATGCACAGAGAGAATTATAAGGCTTCAAAAAGAGTGGAATGGGGCTGTCCTTGCTCCTAATGACTTCCAGGTCTTGCTTTTAGTCCCTTGCCAACCAACTTACAGGGGTACCAAAAAAAATGCATACACATTATAAGAAATGTTATCTATGTATTATTTTTCAAAGTTGAATTGAATTATGGTAGCAATGTGTAGTATGATGTCCGCTCAAAAGATGTTGTTCATTGATCAAGTGAATGGTAGCATCACCATGCAATATACATGAATATGATAGCTTTTTCTCTTTAAATTTGTATCTAGTTTTTGGTACCCTCCGTATACTACTGCAAATGAACTCTATTAAGAAACACATATGCAGACAGGCACAATGGCTCACATTTAAAATCCTACTGCTCTGGGATGTTGAGGCAGGTGGACTGCCTCAGTTCAGGAGTTTAGAGACCAGCCTGAGCAAGAATGAGACTCCATCTCTACTAAAATAAATAAATAAACAAATTAGCCAGGTGTAGTGGTGCACACCTATAGTCCCAGCTACTGGGGAGGCTGAGGCAAGAGGACTGCTCAAGCCAAAGAGTTTGAGGTTGCTGTGAGCTACGATGCTCTGGCACTCTACCCAGGATGACAGAATGAGACTCTGTCTAAAAAAAAAAAAAAAAAAAAAAAGAGAGAGAAACAAACAAACAAACATATCCATTAATGGCATGATATTTGCCAAAGAAATATGACAAAAATTCCCAAATCTCAAACAAAGTACTTGCAATTTAATTATATGGCTCCTAACTAGCATATCTCCTCACTTAATAAATATGACTTTTTGATAAACATTTTAGTATGCACCTATGTTAATATTCATCCTAAATATCCACCAGTCTGAACAGTACATACTTTAATTTTCAAATCCTAGAGTGCTGGTTGCCATCCTATGGGCAAAACCATAGAGAGATAGGAGTTATTGAAAAGAATCATCAGCTCAGCGCCTATAGCTCAACCGGCTAAGGCGCCAGCCACGTACACC